TCGGTACCATACAATCTTGATGGCCGGAAGGGATTCCTTCCGGTCATCGAATGGCCTCGAATGGCCTTGATGGCCGGAAGGGATTCCTTCCGGTCATCGGGACCATACAATCTCGATGGCTGGAAGGGATTCCTTCCGGTCATCGAGACTTACAGTCTCAATGACCGGAGGGAATCCCCCCCGGCCAGTGGGAGGGAAGCGACTCCCAAACCTCCCACTTGCCAAGGAGGTTTTGGGCGCCGACTCCCGCCCAACAAAATAAAAAAAATAAAAAAATTGGATTGGGAGGTCGACTCCCAATCCCCCAGGGGGAATTGGAAAGACAACTCCCATCCAACGACCCCTCGACCAAAATGGGAGTTGTCATCAAATTTTTGGGAGTTGTTTTTCCAACCCCCTATTTTTATAAGGAGCTAGTCCCTCGACGGTACAAGTGTTGAGTTGGACTTTATTTCCACTGGCCACGCTTTGGCTATAGTGTGACCCAAAACCCTATCAACTCCTGGTCACATAAGAGAACAGAGCTGACACATGGGTAAAAAGTGACCCAGAGATCCAAGTCTTTAAGCACAGGTACTTATATGAGAGAAGATCCTTGGCTGAGCTGGGTGGATGTCAACGCTCCCAGGGGAGCCTGAGAGGCGAGAGGATGGTTTGAGGACTGGAGACCTGCAGACACTCAAGCTCTGCTCACGTTTTTGTTTGGATGGCCTTCACATTCTTCCGTCTCTGCTTGTTAATTAATTCTCAATGATCAATTGGAGCAATCTTGCTTTGCTTGTCAATGATCAATTGGAGCAATCTTGCTTTGCTCATGAACGGATCGCTCTCTTTTAAATATGAACACTGAAATGAAATGAAATGAAAAAACATGGGTTTGCACGTTTTCTCTTTGTAAAGAGGATGGCTGTGATGTTTGTGTGAAGTGGTGCTTGCTGAGAAAGGTGCAAGACTGAGGGAAACAGCAAGTATCAGGGCAGTTCAGGCTCTGCTGATGTTGACAATCAGCAGTTGAACCTTGTTAGAATTCCTATCTATAAGGTTTATGGGAAGGCAACAGAGTTTAGTGGGAGGCTCCCCTTTGGAGTCAAAAATACCGCAATTAATGTTCACAAACTTTGTCCATCAGCAGACACACCTTGTTCCTGGTGCCACATCAGCACCAGTTTTGGTGCAACATCAACTGCCCTATTTGTAGATTGCTGATCATCTCAAATGGCCTGACAAAGCTTGCCATCAAATTTCCCGTTTCTATTATCTGAAAAGCACGTTTCCCCTCTTTCAACAAACTTGCCGACAAGACCTCTGTGCTCTCCTTCTTATTGCCCTCTTGCTGATCCTTAAGAACACTTTCTAGGTCTTCTCACCATTGTAGGTTAACCTGTCATCAATCTTGCTCTGGCTCTATGGATCATAATTATTAACCCCTTTCTCTTAGCTTGCTCTTGGGTTGTTTCATATCTCTTTTGTTCTTTATAGCATGTATTTCTTCTTTTTTTCATCTTTAGCTAATTATCAGAAATACATCACCTTTAGTCTGACAATTCACAGGCTTATTTCAAGTCATCTGTCAGGTTTTTTGTCCTCACTTCTCCGGGCTGATTACTCTTCCTCAACTCACTATAACCAAAATCTGCTTCACACTTGCTGACTAGCTGTGGTATATAATTATTGGAGGACTTCCTGTAAACCAGATGGCTTAATTTAGACTGACCGGCTAAAGTTTGTTTGCTGGTCAAATCTCAAGGTCAAACAATTTTCACCAGCCAATAAGGTTTAGCCCTTCCTTGTAAATTTACAAATTTAGACATCGGGAAGTCCTCCATTCTGACAACACTGGGTCTCTACTTTATGCTGCACTATCTGCATTATCTCAGTAATGTAGTGCACTTGATTCCTTCCCTGACACATTAACATTATCTGTAGTGGCAGATTGTTCTTTCAGCCAGTAGTGTAATGGTGAAGTTTTTGTGTGTTTTGAATGGATAAAGTAATACATTATCAGCTTATCCAGAGGTTAAGAAACCCCAAAAACATTTTAAGTGGCAAAAAGCCTCTATTGTTGAGCTTTGGCAGCAACACATGCCATGAATGTCCAGAAAGTATCACATGTCTTACCAATATTTATGGTCTTTTTTTGCAAAAAAAAATCTACAAGTTACTGATAGTGTAATGAGCATCCAAGCCGTCTCCGCTATTTCAGTCTCTGCACACTTTTCCGGGACTAAGGTGTCTAGCTTATCAAGGGCTCGGCACTTAGGCCCGTGAGCCTCCATGGTCCCCGTCAATTAAGATGGGTTTTCATGTCGGCGGTGTTCGGGTCTCGGGGAGAGTCTAGAATCTTTTTTGGGGAAACTCTGCCAGGGACTTCAAAACATTTGAGAGGGTTCCACTGGTTTGTTTCAAAAAAGGCTGAGACTCTGCTCCTGAAGCAGAGAGAAATGAAGCATGCTGAATTAACAGCAGAGAAAAGGGGGGGGGGGTGAGGTTCGCGCTACACCAACCTCCTCTTACACTAGGGTGGGTGGGTGGCCCAAAAAATTTTCCGAGACTGGTTCAGCGGCGGCAGACGCGAGGCGGTTGAGGATGCAAGCTGGCGACGAGTGACGGAGAGATGTGGAGCTGGGGGAAAAAGTGAGGCTGCTGGGCTATAAGTTGAGACTGTCGGTGTGAGTACTCAAGTCTCTGAGGGCCCGAGCTCAACTGGCTAGCAGCCCACTGACCAGTCCAGTCCCCTTCCAGGCACTCGCGTGCTTGGACATCGGTGACATCCCGTGGCCGTCCTAACACCTCCCATGAAAAAAATTCCAAGGCAAAATGGATAATGTAATGTGCAAAAAATTTCCAAACATCATGGGGAAAGTAATGATAATGAGTGGAAATTCACTACTTTATCTTTACACTAGAATTATGGGTAATTTAACTACCCAGTGTTGATTCTGAGAGCTTTCAAAATGTAAAAAAATCACATAAGTACCAAAAAAGTGCAGCTTTTATCACACTTTTTTTCAGAACTTTAAATATCAATGCTCCAAATGCAAATGCAAAAAAAAAAAAAACATTGGAAATCAGAGTTGTATGGTCTGCTGCAGGAAGAATGATATTAAATAGAATAGTATGACAAAAAATAAGTAACTGCATTCAGATGGGCTTTCAACTGGTGAGGAATGATCAGTGTCATACATAACAAAAAAAAAAAGAAATACAGCGGAAAAGGTGCCAACGTGATCTAATTCCACCTGTATTTCATCCTGGATGCAGATCAGTTCAGAAAGAATTTTCTAGAGTTGATTCATTTTTCATCACTCTTCTTGCATACCAAACTCTTCTCTCTCCAATTTTTCATTCTATCATTTGGAGCACTATTAATGAAACTTGTAAAAAAAGTGTGATAATTGTGAAAATGTTTTGTACTTTCTAAAAATTTCTTTTTGTTTTTATTTTGGTTTTCAGAATCATGTTTTTTTTGAAACCTATTTTGTACGGCTTTCCCAAGTATAAGGATTTCAAGTTAGTGGGTTAAGAAGTATGTGTGTGATTCAAACAAACTAGCCATCAACGTCAGGTGGGTGACTGTACAAATAGAGTGTTGATCAAATCATTCTGAAGTCACAAGAAATCTTACCATAACTCACTTATCACCTTGCCACAGTCCTGTCCTGAAGAAGATAAGTCAACATTTTCAATCAATAGAGAGGCCAATGAGATTTTTACTTGCAGTCCATCAAGGCAGAGATCTAGCACAATATCTATTCCCCTGGAAGATGGGCCTGCAGGGGATTACTGCATGATCATGAGACTGTTTTGGTGCTTGTTCATTCAACTGATCAGTGCTTTGTTTTAGGGCCTTAATAAAAAAACGTGGTTTTTCCGTGTTTTGACACGGTTTTGCTGCGGCACAGCACACACGGATTCCGCATTTTGATGCAGTTTTATTAATTATGCATGCAATATGCATAGTTTTGCCTCCAGGGCGCGCGCGTACCAAAAGTGCTTGCATGAACTTTGAAAATTTTCCTGCAGGCACCAAACAAGAAAACCACTCACCACAATCAAAAAAGGACTTCACCCCCCCTCTAAAACTTCAACACACCACAACTCAGTCAATTCTCAACCAAAATTGACAAAAAAACATACCAGAATTATTATTTTTTTATCCTCTTTGATGCCACGGACTCAGATTTTTTTAAATCACCTCTGCTTCACTCCCAGCTTGCAGGGACACTCTCAACTTGAAAAAACCATAACTTGGCCATTCTTTACCCCCGTTGTCTTCCATTTTGCTGATCCATCTCCTGTTTTTTCTTCTTTAAATCATTAGTAGACATCAAACTTCAACTCTGAATAAATCAGGCATTCCTCAACCTAATTCTTCAAGCAAATCATAAATCATCTTCACCGCCACCATCTCCGTTTTTGATGATAGACCTCTTGTTTTTTTAAATCATTTCCGGAACTCAAACTTGACTCATGGGGGTTGATAAGTGGAAGCCAACCCCTCTCGCGCACGCCAGCAGCAGATTGGCGTGCGCGCCTGCACGCCATTGCAGAATGGCATGCAGGCAGGCAAGCCACTTGCCTGCAGGGGGTATACCCTGCAGGTTGGCGTTCCTGCCTGCACGCCCATGGGCTGTCCCATAGGACCCAGGCATGGGTCCTATGGGATGGCCCCTTTGTTTTTTTTCATTTCATTTCATTTTTTTTTTCAAATCCCCTCGGCCTAAAGAGGCCGAGGTCACACCGCCCGGGAGGAACCCCTCCCGGCAAGCATATGTACACACCAGCTTGTCGGGAGGGGTTCCTCCCGGCGAGCTGGTTTTACACCAGCTTGTCGGAAGGAACACCTTCCGAAGAGCTGGCATGTACAACGGCTCGTCGGAAGGGTTTCCTTCCGACGAGCTGGAGACGCTCGCCGGGAGGGGTTCCTCCCGACGGTGTGGCCTCTGCCCCTTTAGGCCAAGGGGGCTGGTTTTTTTTTTTCTTTTTTTTTCTTTTTTTTTTCTTTTTTTTTTTCTTTTTTTTAAAAACAAACACTCCTGGAAGAGCCTTGGCGCCCATTCAGAGGGCGGGTATCCGCGGGTATCCGCGCGGATACCCGCCAACGCTGGCGGGTATCCGCCGGCGGATGCGGATGTGTGTTTCCGCTGAAATCGTGAGCGGATATCCGCATCCGCGCGGATATCCGGATTCAATGCGCCCATCTCTATTGAAGATTATTGATGAGTAAAAAGATAGGTCGATACAATTCCACGAGGGAAGAGAGGAAAGAGAAGTCCGAGAGAGCAGCTTCCTTATACCCGAGAGAGTCGTGATAGAGGGAGGATCGAGCGGAGTCGAGTCGAAGGTTTTTGCTGGAGGAAAAGAAAGGGTCTGATCGTATTATCTGAGAGCCAAAATGTTCTTGAGATGATGTCATAGCCAGATGAGCCGCTAGAGTCTGAGAGGGATGTCACTCAGATGTCAACAGTTCAATCCCAGGGTGAGCATTTTGGGAGGAATCTAATTCGAGCTTCATCAGCTTGAAGACTTCCAAGCCGCTCTCGAACTCTCTAGTCGAGAAGAGTGCATTCAATAATGCATTGTAGATCACTTGGTTCAGCTTCCCTCGACTCTTCAGTCGCGCAATTAGCTCCGTCGCCCGTGATAGCTTCGTCCGTCGCCCCACCTCATTTGCCCCTTCTAATGATCCTCGTCGCGGCTCGATCGGGAAGCCTTCCGTTCGGGCTTTGTACTCTTGGACATGTGCCCGGAGAAATCCTTCGGGGAGGATTCCCTTCCGACGAGCTGGATTGTGTACCAGCTCGTCGGAAGGGGAATCCTCCCGGCAAGCTGGTACATATACCTGCTTGCCGGGGAGGAACCCCTCCCGACAAGCTGGTACATATACCAGCTTGCCGGGAGGAACCCCTCCCAACAAGCTGGTGTGTACATACGCTCACGAAGAAAGGTTCCTCCCGGCGGTGTGACCTCGGCCTCTTTAGGCCGAGGGGATTTAAAAAAAAAATGAAAAAAAAACAAAGGGGCCGTCCCATAGGACCCATGCCTGGGTCCTATGGGACAGCCCATGGGCGTGCAGGCAGGCACGCCAACCTGCAGGGTATACCCCCTGCAGGCAAGTGGCTTGCCTGCCTGCACGCCATTCTGCAATGGCGTGCAGGCGCGCACACCAATCTGCTGCTGGCGTGCAGTTTGGCGTGCGCGAGGGGGGTGGGCTTGCACTTATCAACCCCCTTGACTCATACTTCAACTTTGAATAACTCAGCCATTTCTCAACCAAAATCTTCAATCAGTTCACCAACAACATTCTTTCTCAATCCTCTTCACCTCCACCATCTCCGTTTTTGCCGCCGGAACTGACAGTTTTTAAATCATTGCTGGAACCCTAGTAGGTCTCAAACTTCAACTCTGAATAATACATCCATTTCTCAACCAAATTCTTCAATCAAACCATTAATAATCTTTTTTATTGATCCTCTGTAGAGCCACCATCTCTTATTTTGCCAACACACCTCTTGTCTTCTTTAATTCATTGCTCAAACACTAGTAGGAGTCAAACCCCATCTTTGAATAACTCAGGCGTTTCCCAACCGATTTTTTCAAAAAAAACATCAAAGATGTTCTTTATTGTTCTTCTTGACAGCCACAATCTCTGCTTTTGCCAACACACCTCTCATCTTTTTTAAATCATTACTGGAACCCCAATGGACCCTTTGTTTTTTTAATTCATCACTCAACTTCAACCAACACTTACATCATGCAATCATATGTCTGAAATTCAAAGCCACATCAACCCCCTCCTTGGTTGAGCTCCAATATCTCAGGACACTCAATTCTCTTGCATGGAGAGACAAGGAACAGAAAGCCCCCCTCAAGTACTGGATGACCTTTCCGCCTATGGTTATTTAATTGCTGATACATACCAAAGACTGGTTATTTAATTATGGGAAAAGATTCCTGCCACTTATCTTCCTCTTTCACATATTCCAAACAACAACCCTCCCATCTGCCTGAATCTTTGACTAGATTATTCTCATTTCATAATGTTCAATTTCAAGGCCAAAATATGGCCATGCCCCAGGATCAATACATTTTGGAGATTCTATGTCAGGGATGAAGCGGTGGGTTGGGAGGATTGGATTCAAACCAACGTTGACCAGGGTCCAGAAGTCTTGTACCCCCCCCCCCCAGTCAGAATATCTTTGTGGCTCAAAAAATATCCTGTTGATGTTGATTAATTTTTTTTTCATCACTTTTCTCTGTACCTTCCTCTGATTCCCTGCTTTCCACAGTGCTCGCATCAATAAAATGAGTGGGAGCAAAAATTAAAAGGAAAAGAAATCATTTTTATGAAAAATAAATGTTACCATTAAATTCTACACCTTTCAAAGTGTAGGGAAAAAATCCAAAATTCACAACAACTGAATAAACCAGGCAAAATAAATTAATTAAAAAACTGCGTCAAAACATGGAAAAACAGTGTTTTTTTATCAAGGCCCTGGTTTCATTCAAAAAAATGGGTTTCCTTTTTTTTTGGCTCATTTAGCATGCCAGTGTCCCTCCATACCTGATTCTATATGTTTTTTTTAGTTAAAAAAACTCAAATGTTTCTTGAGATGAAATCTTAGGAACTTGGAGTCAAGACTCTTCTTGCATGGCTTGTGATAAATATTTAGTCCTTCAATTCTTCTTGAAAACCATTATTTTTCTTCCATTTTTGTTATTTGACAAAAGAAAAAAAAATCTGTTTGTCATGTTTTTTTAGCTGTTTGATCTTATAAGAGCCGGATGGGATTGTGTTTCTTTATGTATGCAATGAGCAATCAAGATCAGAACATGATCAACCTGAATCGTAACCCTCCACGAGCTTAACATAAGCCTCGCGATCGGAGGGTCCCGAAGGGACCCCGCGTCCGAAGGGACGCTCTCCGAAGGAGAGGCTTACCTCCAAAGCCCCTCCGATGACTCAAGGTAAATGAGATTTCTGCGAAAAAAACGCTTATTTTGCCTTCGAAAATTATTTAAAAATGTACTTTTCAACTTTTCGTAATTCTGAGTAGGCAGAATTGTACTTTATCATCTCAGCTCTCAGACCGATCCTTTTTGTAATTTTCTGCCTTAAAACCATTGTCCCTCCGATGTTTTTAGCTGGTGATGATCTGAATTTTGCCAAGATCCAATTCGGATCCGACTTCATCAGATCGTGGACCCTCTCACGGGTTCCTGTCGGATTCTGCGCAATTGCATAGTATCCGGTTTTCAATAGTGAGTGTTTGTATTGGCAGGCATTAGATCTCTCAGCGTTCAAATGCCTCACCATCGCTTAAGATAAGAGTATTTTTAGATGATGTGTAATGAAAAAAACTCATGTGACATTATCTCACATACTATGCTTCACCGAATTACACATTCATGACCGGATCTTTTGGTGGAAAATCCGGCTTTGAAAAAGCCGGATTGTTTACAGATAGTTTCCACAGCCCCAACTTTACAGGACAATTCTCAGGAACAGGAACAGATATTGAAGATTTGGAGGATACAATAATTATCCTGTAAGCCTTGCGATTTCAATGGTACCAGAGGCGGGATGGGTAAATGAGTGCTAGTGGGTGCTATCGGGGAGGGGGAGCTACTCACAGCCAATTGGCTGGACTCTGTAGGGTGAGACTTGCCACTTTCGATGCAAGTCCCTCCTTCGGAGGTCGCTACGCGACCTCCTCGGAGGGACCTTGTGTTAAGTTCGAACCCTCCAATGATCCTAAAAGGCAGTCTTATTGTAGCAATTTGGCGATGTCCAGCTCTGGATCGCTTCATCTTCTGGTTCCTGAAGTTCCCCAAGGTGTAATCTTGATGGAGTGGTGCAAGGTAGAAAGACTTTCAACTTAAAAAAGAGATAAGTTTAAGTTAAAGTTTGATGAGGTTTGATGTCCATGATGATGGTTGGAACGAAACCAACAACATCACAAACAACTTGAACCACACCACATCGAGAGAGTACGAAAGCAAGCCTTGGAGATAAAGATCACCAGTGTCAGAAAAGGATGGCCGAACACACCCCAAGCCAACTGTTAGCCCAACCAGAGGACCCACACCGATCCACACCAGGAAGACGCGAGCGCGAGGAGGAGGAGGAGGGGGGGAGGGCTAGGCGGAGTCAAGCGGCGACAGAAGAGCTAGTGGAGAAGATCGACTATGTGGACCCGCAACGATGTCTGCGTCTGCGCCAGAAGAGCTCAAAGACAGTTATAGAGAGCGGTCAGGAGGGACAAGCGACGGTCGACGATGGCATCCCGCTCAAAAGGATCCAGGGCCCCGCCGATGTCGAGGCTTTCTTCAACTCCATCGCCCTCGATCGGCTCCTCCAGGTCCTCCTCAATATCTCCAATCGGATCGCTCGCTTCGGGATCCTCGAAAACGACCGCCAAGTGTCCTACTTGAAGACCTCACTCGAACAGGTTGGTCTCTTCTTCTTCTTATGATTACCCGTTTAATACCTCCTTTGAGAACTGATCCTGGATTTCTTTTTTTTTTTGCCTTATCCCTCGGTCCTCGATCCTTGCGTGATAATAACAAGAGTCCAACGGTCAGAGCAGTCGTCGGGATCTTCGAGCGTCTCGATCAATGGATCACTGAGATTCCATTAGACCCCACTCCACAACGGTTCGGAAACAAAGCATTCAAGATTTGGGGACACCGTCTAGAATCCGTTTCGTCTACTTCCCTTCCCTCCTATCCCCCTTTGTCTCAAAAAAAAAACCCAATGATTGATTTTGTTTTCTTTCGTTAAGGAAGCACAAAATTTACACACTCAAGCTGGCGTGATTACCGAGTATCATAAACCTATTGAAACGGAACTGTTGCATCATTTCAAGACGTCTTTCGGCTCGTTCGGGCGACTAGATTATGGGACCGGCCATGAAGTAAGTCTTCCCTTCTTCCCTTCCCATTTCCTTTTTTTTTAAATCACACAGTGTGAAAAGAAGATGGATTGATGATAAACAAGGAAGAATAGTTATCCTTCCTAGCATACCTATCGATCCTACATCTAACCCGAATATTGCAGCCCAAAGAATTCATATTGAGTGGCTTGATAATCTACCAAAAGTATTTCAACCTATGTCGGAGATTGCAACGAGTGTATAATCTGGAGCCGGCGGGATCGAAGGGCGTCTATGGCTTAGATGACTTCTTTCATGTGGTGTACATCTTTGGAAGTGCCCAACTTTTATGTTGAGTGTCCCTTATTTTTTCATTCTCTGATCATATGGACCGATGGTCCGTTCTGCTAATTATTATGAGCTGATGAGTCGAGAAATCAACAGATCATCCGACGATCAGACCTTCCTCGATACTAGACGAGAAGCTGATGTCGAGGGTCAACGAGACTGAGCCAGGAGGAGGAGGAGGAGGAGGAGGACTGGCAGAGTCGTCTTCAGATTTCCTGCGACGGGAGGGGCTCACCCGGAGTCTATTTTTCGAGGCGGTCCAGAACACGCTTTCATTGAAGACCCGGCCGATCCCGAAGGATTCTCTACCAAAGACGACGACAACGACGACAACGACGATGAGGATGGGGGAGCAGAGACACGAGGAGGGGAGCGAGCAGCAGGGCTTGTTGGACCATTCGCCGATCCTCTTGAACCTGGCCACCAACGTCAAGGGCTGGCCCAAGATCTACGGCGGGCTGATCAAGATGATGAAGGGCGAGATCTTCGCCAAGGTCCCGGTCATGCAACACTTCTGGGTCGCTGGCCCTACCGCCGTCCTCCCCTGGCTTGCTTGTCCCCCAACCATTCCTGGCTCCCTACCCCTCGATCACCAAGACCAACAGCACGCAGACGAACCCGATCTCGATTACATCAATCATTATCGTCCGCTCTCTTGATCTCCTTTAAAATCAGTATTGTTCCATACCTCGTTTGACTGTAGGGATCCAATGCATGGCTCTGTCTATCGACCCCAGCCATCTCAGTCCCTCTACTTTATACACAATTGCAAGTTTCGTTTGGTTTGGGGACAATTATATACTAGCTGGCTGTTAAACAAAACAACTGCTTTGGATGAAAGTCCCATCGAGAAATGATCATTGTTCATTCTTCTATGTAACTTCATGTGACATGATCTGCTGGAATGACATAAGGGAGATCAAGATGAAGATAGATCATAAGCACAAAACATACGGATGGTTGGACGGAAGGGGGTACATAGTCTTCCTGCACACCCACTCACCAATGGGGAGGAACCTTTCTTTTAAAACACAACAAATGGATTTTCCACGTTTCTGGGGCACATGTGACATCACTGATCAACTTGGGCCGAGATTATTTGATGCTCATTAAAAAAAAAAAAAAAAGTTTTAGTTGTACATTCGTATTCTAACCTGAAAAGACTCTTGGAGCTTCTGATCATTTGTTGTCTTTTGCTCTCAGAACTTCATGAACGTCTTGAATGGATCATTTCATGCTTGTTCTTTGAGACTTCTCAGCCCTTCACACCCATCACTTGCATTTCTCTATTCCGGATCCGCTGTTTTGAGCCTGTCCCTCAAGTATCCCTCCCAAAAGGGGCCAATTCCATTGAGCTTTGGTTTTCCGCTTTTTTTTCTTTTTTCTTTCTGATGATCACTGATCACTGATCACTGATCGGTTTGCATGTATTTGTTTCCCATTTAAAACGAGCAAACGTGAGCAACTCTTTGATGTTTCAGATTTCAATAGTTTGTGTTCTGATCATCAGCCGGGATGACTTGTTAATTTAGCTGCTGGACTCACTGCCCGTACCACACTTAAGATCTTCCTTTATAGATAATGTCCAACGATCCACGGCTTACCGTTAGGTCACCAAGTTTTGTGTTGTTGTTTTCTTTTCCCTTGACTCGTTTTTGAGAAGCTCAGTTCTGGGGAGGGGATTTCTTTTGTTGGCTTGATGACCAAACCTGATCGAATCAATCCATCTTTAAACCGTGCTTAGCAACCGGTGTTGTTCCAGCAGTCATTTGTCATCTGCAAGACTGATAAACCAAACCAAAAAAAAAAAAAAAGACGGAGGTTGAATAACCAGTAATGACGACGATGGCCGAGCCAGCAACGAACGATCCAACTGATCATCAGCAGGCTCCCGAGTCAGGCTTTCGATCTCGGCCGAAGTATTTTTATCTCGGCGGTAAGTGAGCTATGATTCAAGAGGAGCTAATATGTAGGCTCAACGAGGAAGAAAGAACAAAAACACTAACTGATGTTGAACAATATCTGGTTACAGATCCGGTGGTTCAGGGCTTCAAAGATCTCATCGCAAAGTTCCACCCCCAACCGCCTCGTGAGGAACCACTGGTGAATCAAGAGCCACCGGTCAATGGAGAACTGCCGGCGAATGAGGGAGCACTGGCGAATGGGGGAGCACCGGCGAATGGGGGAGCACCGGCGAATGGGGGAGCACCAAACAATGAGGCACCACCGGCCAATGGAGAACCACCGGTCAATCCGGCACCACCGAACGATGGGGAGCCGCCGAACAACGCTGAACATGCCCGCCAACCCATCAACCTGCTGACCAGGAGGACCTCTCATTGCTCTCTCATGACGAAATCGAAAAGCGGGAAGCGCTCGTGACACGACTTCAATCCGACCTCCTCCCTCTCCTCCTAGAGCAAATCGACGAGCTCTGCGAATCGCTCGACCCGTTAGTCTGTCGGAACATACCAAGGAGCTCGTTCCCCCCGATCTTGCAAATCCAGGCAGAGCTCGAACCTACGATGGATCAAATCCAATCTGCCATGGACACCGTCTGTCCTAAACCGATCAACCTAGTGGCCAGTCAAGCCAAAGATTGGCACCTCAGAGGATTGAAATCGTACCGGCTTCACTTCCTTAAATCGGAGTTCGATCAAGGATGGTGGGCACATCTCTGTCAGGGCTTTGGAGAGGCCTACGAGGAAATCCAGCAGTGGGGCTTCTGCTCGGAGAGATCCAAGAACCAATTCGGCATCCTTACTTATATAGATACTCATGGCAGCTCCCCCTTCAATCTCTTCTACGATTCCGTCATGGAGACTATCCAGCTACTCCAACAATCCGAGTTGGATTATATCAAACAGTCTTGGAAATCAGGGGTGGCGAAGATCGATGGGATCTTGAACAGTATCCTCGAATTGCTGATCAATCGTTCTTCCATCTCATCGGCAGAGCAAGATCCAGATCGACTCTCTCAGCCTTTATTTCTCCGTCATCCAGTGGTCATTCGACTCGCCCAATCAGCCATCCCAATCCTCAAGCTCTCCCGTCTCCTCATCCTCAACCTAACCAGACAGGTATCCAGCCATCTCCAA